CAGGATTCCACTTTGAATTTTGGTAAAATTTCAGGTTTTTTGGGCGTCTTCTTACAAACTACAAAAACTAAAGAGAGAATCTTTTTCAAATACAATTTGTTCTTCATAGTGAGTTCGTTCAATAAGGTCATGTATTTTTTTTTTCTTCAAATTTTAGTAGTTTTCGCGCATATTGCGAACAATTTAAAAAGATAGAAAAATTAATTTTCTCCAAAGACGACTTCCAAATTTTTTTCTTTAACTTTTGGTAGGGATTGTGCTTAAATGCACTTCTATAGATGGCATGAAAATCCTATATTGCTTCTATTCCCTTATTGTTTTTTTAATTTACAAAAAATATCATTTTTGAACTTTTTTTTTGTTTCTCATATGTTAATATTTACCAGTACGCGGTAATTTCTTTACATTATTATATTTATGAGTACATGTGCTTTAAATAATGTCAGATAATGTTACCCCAAAACTCAACAACAACAGTTTTCCGTGAAAATGAGCTCAAACTTTCGCAGTTTCAGAAACGCTCAAACACCCTTTTTTCTCAACAACGGCTACAAATTGTTCTTAAATTTTCCCCAACATACAGAACTAATTGCACTATTTCAGATGACATGGAATTTATTTTGTTGTATTCATTTGTTTTTTTGAAAAACTACACAAATGTTTTTTTTTAAGATCTCTCACGCTTTTAATATGGAAATTTCCATATTATTTGTAAACACTATTGCATTTGTGACTGGATGTGATTGAAATTACGTCGTATGAAGTTCTTCGAAAAATCAATAGTTTTCTGTGACATGAGGTTCAAATTTCGAATTTACAATAGCGTTCAAATGCCATTTTCTTAAAAACTTTTTCAAATGTTTCAATGAAAACTGCCATTTAAGACGTGGTTTTACTCTTCTTTCATATTCGTAAAATAATATTTCCGTTATATTATTAGGAAAGCTAAAAATTGAGAAATTTGTTAAAAAATGTACTTTTTGCGGCGATATTCAGTAACTGGCAAGAGTATTTGGCAAGACAGAATAGCTAGTCCAGACCAAAGGAAATAGAAAACTAATACGGAAAAGTCTGTGCCATTCTGGAGCACAATTAGTTAAACTCTAAGATTACATTTTTCGAGAGACCCCCTATCCTGCAGTATGTGTAGTCAGATACGAGGTGGATTACGAAATTATGTAAAATTATATTGAAGGAATAGAGTCAAGAATACATCACGATAAAATCAAAGTCACTATTTGATTTGATTTTATTGCAACGCTTCGCAATATTAGAATGTTTACTCACGCACAGCACCGAGCTTACAAAGTTGTAGCCAGTGACGGCATTCCGGGTGTGGGGGAGGGGGGCAACTGTAAATATATATCGTTTATATAGTTGAGATTACTGGTATGTACGGATCCGTCATTTACGATTACACCTCTTCCCGCGCACGATTTGAAACGTAGTGAGGTATCATTCGACGAGTTTCAGTCTCCTGGTGTGAAATTAATATTTTATTTTTTGATCCGGCCAGATGATTCTAATAATTTTCCAAAAAGTGTTTTCGTGCTATCTTAGTGAGTATGCCGGGAATCAAACCAACGTCACCCAAATATATCTATGCAGGTTACGTTGAATGCGACAACTGAATCGTCGCGCGGTAGATTTCATTTAATTTGCATCCGTATTAACGTATTTTAAAAAATACATTTGCAAAAACCTACGAACAGTATTACCTTGGAACTTATTGAATTTGAATTTCAGGTAAATACGGAAAAAAAACTGTGAGAAATGCTACAGAAGCCCATTGACATTCTTACGTTCGACTTCGCACATTTACATTCTTAAGCGTGCAAATACTGATTTTCAAATGAATGTGAGTAACAATATATGTTACTCACCTACAACAGGATTAATATGGAAATTGTAGAAGTAAATGTTAAACAATTAGACTGAGTTTGTGTGTTCCAAAATTAGAAGACAAAAATATGAGAATGGAAAGCAAATTCGGAGAAGAATCAATTGTAATTGTAGACTTTGGGGCAGAATTTTCGAAACTAATTGAAAATAATCTTATTAAAGAAAACTGCTTACGGGGAACATTTTATGTGAATTTTTGGTTATATTAGCAAAAAACGTACAAATTGGAAGCAGTAGTAAATTCTAACTATTCGCACCATCCATACCTATCATACCCTAAATTGGAAAGAATAGTTTGAAAGCATATTGTATTGTTAAGTATTGTAAATTACCATAGTTTAGGATTGCACGGAACATACATATTTTATGATTAAATAAATTCTTTCCATTACAAATTTCCTAGCGTTTTAATATTTCAAATGCCGAAAAATTGGTGCTTTTCACAAACAACGTTTCGTGGGTCCGCGATGCGATAAAAATCATGTTTTCCACCATTACTTGTGATCTATGAAAGCGTAGACGGCAAACGGAAAACTAGTAGGCCGTTGTTCATGTAAAACAATTTTCTTTAACGGAATAAATTTGTCAACGCTGTGAAACGTACGGATACAAGAAAGTCACCGAGTAGAGTGACTAACTTTTATATGATCCCGCAGTTCTAGAGTGAACATACAGTGTGTTAGAGACCAAAAACTGCGCCATTACAACGATAAGGCGCAAGCGGCTATTAAACCTTACCGTTTTTCCGCGCGGCACGGCGGATATCGGGAGGCTGTGTGTATATGGCAATAGCGCGCTTCCTGTCGCCTTCGTAGAATACAACGCGCTTTGACACGCAGAAAAACACGTGATATCAAGCTTGAAACTGAGTGTCATCTATAAACCCCCCTTACGGGTCCGCTACGTTCACCTCAGGGGAGACTTCTTCGATTGTGACCTTTGACCGATACTTTTTCAAACTGCCTTGAGTTGGAATTTATTAGTAATGAGGCGAAATATTATTTTTCAGAAAGGAATTAATTTCCAGATCTTTGTAGTATATTGTAAATAAGGCATGATATTTGTTTGATGCCAAGTGTACACTGGAAAAAAGCGAACCTGTTATCTCCACTAAATATTTTCAGTTATATTCAATGTTATTAGAGTAATTTCACTTTTCTGTTATTATAATCGCGAATCTGTTGTTTCAATCATAATGTCGGTACCATTATTAAAAAAGTATTGTTTATTTGGACAACGGAACGATTTTCATTACAAATGTATAATAAACACTCAAATAAATGCACAGAATTGTTGAAGCCCTTTTAGTGTACATGATTTAAAATGGTAAAAATTGATTTTCTTTTTTTAACAACAGCTCAACAATCGAAAAAAATTGAAAAGTTCACATTTTGTGTTCGAAGAAAAACGTCTGAGATTTTTTCAAACCTGTTCCAGGGTTTTAAAACAGAAAAAAATATTTTTTGATATTTTTCGAACAACTTTGCATTTGAATTTGGCGCCGAGAAAATATAAAAAAAAAATTTTTCTGACAGTATACATTATTTCTTTGATAAAATGGTGTTAAGTTGACAAAAAATAAAATAAAATAACACGTTTCTGGCTGTAGAGGAGTGTGGGCGGTGGGACGGCGGCTAAGAAATCTTCAACAACAACAAAATATTATGTTTATGTTCGAATTATGGTGTAGCTACGCAAATAACGTTTTAGTTAGCGCAACTTTTTACCATGTTATGCGGGTGGACCCTTTGCCCCCCTCCCCCCCTATAAAAGACCCGAAATCCTGCACAGTTCACCTCGACGTTAGGATACAGAATGAAGCTATTTCCAAGCATAAAACAGTATATGATTATAAGGATAACAGAAATTTACTGTGGCATTTCGCACGGGTTCAGCTAGTAAAGAGCTAAGCGTCTAAGGTTTGGTACCGGCTGTAAAAATCTCAGACCACCTGCGCAGATGCGTAATTCTGAAAATTAGGGGAGTATGTCAATTTTAAATTCCCTCTCCACCCTCTAAAATCTGCTGGGGGTAGGGAAGTTCTTCTCATGTTTTATATAAAAATAATTTAAGTAGACTGCACAGAAATAATTTGTGTTGTTTATATTTATGTGGTTTCAGGTCAAATGTGAAATATTAAATAAAAGTATTGTATGATATATTAAATACAATTATTGTATTTATTCTTATTCGTGATTGAGAAGTAACCAGTGAACATTTAAATGAATGAGCGTAATTAAATTGAAGATGGTGCTCTCAATCTCAGGAGGTGCCCCCCCGGAGAGATGAGCACGATTTAATTATTCTAATGTGAGTGAACGCGCGTGTAACAGTAATTGGAATGTACAAGAATATTGTGAACAATTATTAAAATATGATGGACCAGTGAGTAATTTCCATGAGAGGAAGATTTATAAATAAATAATTCGTCAGAAGAAAAACAGATTGAGACGCATGGACGAATTTCCAATAGGAAAGAGATTTGAGATGTGAAGACAGACAAAGAGGAAGCGAATTGTGCGCAGCTCGCGCATATGTTGATGAAATAGACTGGGCGAATAATTGAAACTCC